GTTTCAAGAATAAAAATATTCTGAAACGATTTTGACATCATTAGACATTAGTCATTTATGGGATTACACTCATAAAATTTCATATATGGTGTAAAACCGTAAAGGACTTGTCGACCTTTGAACAAAATTATCGCATAAAAGTATTTATCTTCTCACGCTTTATTTGGCAGGGCCTAATCCTTCTCACGGAATTTGCAGTGAGTGCATCCTTTTATTCAGCAGATTTGTGTCAAGACATTAGTGCAGAAAGTACAAGCCGTGAACACCAAAGAACCGAATTCCAAAACTTCCGATTAAAGCACCAAAATTACAATCATACATGAATTGTTTTTCCAAGTTCAATGAGTGACCAATGAACGGTCATGACTTCATCAGGGTACTCTAATCGTTTGGGACCGTGTAACGTGAGGTAAATTTCTTCCGTCGAAGTAACTGCTCTTTTTTCTATGTCAGAAGTTTACAACAGGCCTGCTATGACGGGTAGATATTCAGTTCTTGTCACCGTCTCTTATGTGGATTTCGAACGCTTCAGTAACTAAGTGTTCTTCAGTAGTTGTCAACCATCGTTACTATGATTGGGTCATTCAAAATGATGAAAATTTGATGAAGAGCCGCTTGTTTCCAAACTTTCTTTTTCTGATTCAGATCGATTGGTGATGCTAGCCACGTTGTTTTACGTTCCACTGTTTTTTTCGTAACGGCATTTGGTGACTTGAGCAATACAAAACAGCTGATATTCTACAAAATTTACGGAGTAAATTACATCGGTCCTTTCGTCTGTATTTTTCTTTTCCGACACATGTCTTATTAACTCTGAAATGACGGAAGCAAATGCCGACGATGAAAGTCGGATAAGTCATTCGCGTGCAACAACGATGTTAGCTGACCAGTTTTTTATTGGTTTTCCGATGACCTTTCGTGATTATCTAATTTATATGCTTCGAATCTTGTATGATGGATTTTGTGCTGAGCTTCTTCACAACCAAACGATAAGACCTAACGTCACGAACAACGACGATGGGGTAAATATCTCACGATAATGGCTAAACTTAAATAAATTTTGTCAAAAGACAAAAAAACAACTCTTCCCTATTATATCTTGACAATCTCGCATCACCGCGCCATTCCACACTGTTTATAGTTCATAAAAGCTAGTAACAGCAGTCTTAACCTTGGCCCTACGCGGTGTATAAAATTAATAAAGGCTTCATAATGATGCCGTAGTCATATCCAAACACTTTTGTATGAAATTTGCTTGTGGTTTTAAATTTGAATCAAAATTCGAATTAACCATGTTGCTTTAATGCACTAGTGAAATGGATAACGTCAGTATGGCGAAAACACGTTTCGTTTGTAACCCGCGAAGTTGTCAAAGTTAATCTCCAACAAAGATAAGTTCCTGAACGATTCATGGTTCAGGGCACCAAACACTGCAGATGGTAAAACAATTTATTGCCGACGCGTTTCGTTACGTAGACCGTAGCATCATCAGGACCAGGCGAAGTACAAATGAATGCTTGAAGGCAGATGTCCATCAAACGACAGTACGTTACAGCCAAAATGCTGTTAAACCGAACGACCAGAGTGTTAACCGGTACAGACTAATGCAAATTTCTCTTTAAAACGATTTTATTAATTTTGCAATCGTTCCCCAGCTTTTGCTGATAACCACAGAAGACGTGTATTCACTGCACATCCTCTTTTTCATTGCCAGTATAAACAAGGACTCCTTTATCAGTAAACCTAATTTAGATTGGTTTTTGTCTATAACAGACACATTGGTCCGACTGAAAGCGTTCCTTCCGTAATCACATGTTGGGCAATACCAGGATTGTCACACTGTCAAAGGCGGACTGCAGAAAGGTGCTCTCTCATTCCGATGTTCAATTTTCGGTTGGTCTTTCCAATGTACACAATGTTGTAGTCTCTGTGCATTGAACCTTGTATACAACATTTGACACATCTTCAATGTTATTAATGGACAATACTTTTTTAATAAAATGTCGCTCAGTGTTCTGCCAGTCTTGTAGTAGACCCTACAGCCCATGTTATTAACGTACCTCGTACACGCTAAGACACCTGGGGTATGAGCGGGTGAAATTACCATTAGTCCCTATGAACTGGCCAACTTTAAATTTGAGCTGATGTGCAAAAGTTCTTTGTCAGGGATCCTCCTTCGAAAACCGTTCTGCAGGAACGCTTGGTGAAGATTTTGGACTTTAGGTTAAGGTCCGAAGTGTTAGTGCAGGTCTCTTGAGCTCGTAAACGCATGTTCTTCTTCACAACATTCCTAAGCAATTCAGGAGGGACGCATGAAGCCGAGTATAGGTATCGTTGGAGTGTTTGTTTGCCACAAACAGAAACCTCAAATTCAAACGCATGTTCTTCTTCACTAGCACGCCCAGAAAGGATAGAGGGTCGTTAACTTCCACTTCAGTAGTAAAGCGCATTCGGACATTTTCATCCCGTCTATTCATGTAATTTACGAAACATTCCAACCTTTCCAGATAGTCCTCGTTTCTTTGGAATAATACGAAAATGTCATCAACGAATCAGCATAAAACAGAGGTCGGAATTTTGCGGACATTCCTTACGGGCTTCCACCTCAATGAGGTCTATATAAAAATCACCTAATGCAACACTCAAAGGAAAGCCCATTGGAACGCCGTACGTCTGATGACAGGTACCGTTCGCGAATTTGAAACTGGTGCCATTCATCACAATGCCAAAGAATGCCATTAAATCATATATGGTGCAATTCCCTAACGTGCTTTCAGATGTTCGCCACTCGTTCATTGTGTTCTTCAAGATTTCGGGTAGAATATTACACAGCTTGTCAGTATTCATATTACTGAAAAGAGCACTGACGTCTATGGAAGCCATCAAGCAATCTTAATGATCGTGTTTCTTCAGTATGCTGATAAATTCCTTTCTGTCTTTGACTCTGTAAGCCACCCCTCGGCAGCAGGTTTCAGTAACAAATCCAACTCTGTTAGAATGACGTCATTTCTGGTAGTTTGCCACCAAAGAAACATCAATATGGAGGAGATGCCATCATGCACGAATGTTCAAAGAAGTTTATGAAGAACGATGTTGTGGGACTGTTTCGATCACGACAATACCAAGAACTTTGTGTTGCTTGACTGTGCAACCTGTTGCTGAGCAGCGCAAAAAAAAACGCTGTTGCTGAGCAGCTAAGCGAACCTGACTTCCAATTAAACAAAATTAACATTTAAAGAGTACTGGAAAGTATTTATCGCCGTTCACATCTGTCAGAAAAGGAAACATGATCTAATCACACGTCTGATGGAAATATTAAATCGTCGGATTTGGGCAGATCTGAATTTCCGTGACAGCATAACTGTCAATCTGAGCAAAAACGCATTTACGGACACTGAAAAAGACGTACTTGCTTGGCCCTCGATTCAGCATTGCCAACTCTACTACTTCCATCTCTGACATTGTGTAGAGAAAGGATACACTCCAGTGAAAGGCTGAAAGGTCATAAGGAAGAAATTCATTCTATCGTTTTTACGAACATAAGAAAATTTACAATCATGAAGTGAATGGCAGAGATAAAACAGTAAATCTGAAACTTTTGAATGTGATGGATAATATCCGGTGTGAATATGCAACTCATTTCATATCGATGCATTATATTTGCTCATGTAAAGCGGCCACTAGCTTGATAATCAGTTGTTCATTGACGATGGTACGGAATGTGTAGCGAAACGCGTCGACATTAAAAGTGCCAAAATCTTAAGTCTGGGAAAGGGTCTCCTCACCCATGAATTAGTCAAAAATGTAGTAAAATTAAATAATTTCTCTAACGGGCTCAGAATCGCAAATGTTACAACTTATTTAAAGTTTTGGCTAACTAAAGATAAAGCATGGTTAACTCAATTATCAGTACTATCAATAAAAGCAATAACTACATTATTAAATTCCACAACAGCATCCTAAACGCAAAGTTAGAAAGAATGCTGAAACCTAGCAAATAGCAAGAATAAATAGGTAATTCTGAAGGCAGACTTGCAGGCTTGCTCTATAAGTTGCTAAGTATTAGAAAAAACAAACAGCATTGACGACTCACCGGTATTTTAACGATGAAAAACGTAATTCGCCTAGAAAAGCTACATGCATGTTTGTAGAAAACTATGCCTCTCGCCTGAACTAAGCAGATGATCTGTTCATAAACAGCTCAGTAATAGCGCAGTATATAAAAAGGGGGGCTCCGGATGGTGGGTTAGCAACATCAGTGAAAGAAACTGGTTAAACAGGAGCACCGAAAATGCTTGGATCGTGCAGGCTGAGGATAATCTTCTATTGTAACTACTTTTTCACAGCAGCGCTTAACTTGTTTATATCTGGATTTTACGGGGTACTTCCCCACCTCGAGTTCCGAGTAGCCTCTCATGCAGGCCATTTCAAACATGTGACGCATCTATGCTATCTTAACACCTGCAATGTTAGAGACACTATCTTATCGGTCAGCGGAGAAGGGTAATGGCTTGTTCGTCATCAGCAGAATGATAAGCAGTACATGGCCAGTTATTAGGTTGTTCAAGCACTCAGGCACATGATCGCTGAATTTTTGGCGGTTTTACGACACTTATGACCTATGCCTAATTTGATTTCGTACTGGGAATAAAAATATTTGGAAACTATACGCTTATCATCCATTGTACTCAGTAGCATCAACTACAAAAGTATAAAATATATACAGCTGATACCATCGCAGACAGCCGAGAAAAAACAGCTCTCCTGCAATCCTTGCAAGGCGTTTATGCTCGTTTTATATCGCAAAACGGTCAAGTAACTGCGCGACAGCGACAGATACTTCTGAAAGTACTGATAAGTATATAAGTACTTTCTAAATCAATCGACTAGAAATGGGAAGTAAATAGAATTTTCATCGCGAAAATGGACATGGTCAACACGTATTTCAAGCAGTCCACGCAATGGTCAAAAGCCAGTACTAGCGTATGGCCCAATTCAGACCCTAAAACTGAAAAGCTTCATCAATAGTACCTTCCATTCCAACCATTGCCGCGCCTATCCTCTCTGTGATGCGATAGAGACTAGTGACGGTGGTCGGGTCAATCAACTTATCCTTAAAACATGCCGTTATCACGTCGAGTCACGTGCATGCAGTTGTTTCCCCTTACCGGCACCTTTTTCTGACACACCACACATGCACTGTCTTTTCCCTTCACCGCAACGACAGTCAGATTCGTCGAGTTGATCGCTTTGAACGCATATTCTGAAAAAACTACGGTTTTACACGACAACTAAAATCTAGCAGTTGACAAATGATGGATCATGCAATTTG